TTAATTTTAAGTTTATACAGAAACAGAAAGAAGAAGGAAGCATGGAATCCTACAGGCTTCCTGACTTTCCTTCAACTTTCAAGGTCTTGCAACATTTATAAAGTTTAGTAGGATCTCAAGGCTATTCTTGGAGTCTCTAGAGCTCCTGTTCCTTGGTCTTGTAAAACTCTGTACCACTTAAAGGTCTCCACAGCTTGATACGCTCTGGATATGCTTGAGTGATAGTGCTTTGGGAAATTTAAGGGGCAGCCAGTAAGATCTTTTTTCTCCTGTATTTCTTGTCTTGCACAAACTATCGAGAGTCTACAATGGATCACAGATTACCTCACCTGATCTTTAAACTACACAAGCTTTCTCTCCCTAGTGCTCGTCTTGTCAGGCAGGAGTACTGAAGGGTGAAGCAGATTTCTGTACTCTCAGTAAAATCGTTACAGCCTTTTCTTTGTTTGTTGGGTGTGTTTGCTGGGGTTTTTTTTAATGAGTGAACTTAAAGAGGCAAAAGGCTTGGACAATTGTTTGTCAAAGTGCTCTCAGATTTATTAGCAAACGCTTGATGAATAATTCCCTTTCTAGAAAATTGTATAAGTAGTAAACTGACACAGTGGTTCAGGAAATTGAGGGTGTTGCTCTAGATGAAAGTTGACCAGTTCTGTGTCAGGGTCACTCTGGTAGCTTGGGACTAAAAAACAAGCTGACCATATCTGTTTTGCAGAGAACAGTTACAGGGTGCCACATTCCAGCAAATCTATTCTGGCTCAGGTAAGTGCCAGAACTGTTAAAGAAACCAGAGAAACATATAGAATTTGAATGTGCAATATGTTCCTTCATTCCTGAAGCCCACTGAGCGGTTTGAACTAAAAAACATCCAATAAAGAGATGAGAGAGAAAACATGTTGTGTCTCTCAGGTGCAAATAGCTAACAAAACCTTACTTCTCTGCCAAAATCCTGGCAACAGCAAACAGTTTTGTTTAACTACAATCCTTGATTGAAAGATGACCCCAACAAGAACATCTAAGATTTAAAAAGTAGGTTCTTCAAAAGTTCAGCAGCAGCAATCTGTTGAACTAGACTTACATAAAAGTGTTATGGACCAAAATTTAAACTCAAGGTAGTCATATCTTTGAACTTTTCTGAATGCTTCCTTTCAGAGTAGGTATGGAAGATTACCCAAGCAGATGCAACCCAGTTACATGGACAACAGAAAGCCCAGTAACCTCACGTCAGATTTTGGAAAACCTGAAAGGAAACTGCATCAGCTCCGCTTCCAAATAAATGCAGCGATCAACTTTTATTTCTCATTTCAGATGGAGCAGTGTGAATCTCTGTTTCCAACTTGTTATTAGTACTGCATTGAAATTCTCATTCTCACTCTAACTGAGGATGCCTGACCTATAGCTTTCAAGCTATGAACAGCTCATCAGGTCACTTCACCCACACCAGTGTCAAACAGTGAGAACTTCAGTCTTCCCAACTTAAGTTTACAGATGGGAATTAATACTTGCTATTTGGTTTCTGCAGGAAAAGATTTAAGCAGCAAAATTATTTTGGTGGTGGCAGCAAGTCACTGCTAGCCACCACCTTGCCTCTGCTCCGACAGATGAAGATAGGGGATCCACATCACCATAAAGGTTGGACACTTCAGATGTAAGGATTACAAAGAGAAGTGATAAAGCCCACAAAGTTAACGTTACTTCCACACAGTTGTATGTAGGGCAAGTCATTGTATCCATCGCCTCTGCAGACACTGAAGTGCAGCGTTATTAAAGCCTCACAAAACTAAATACTGGAGGTTGCTTCCTGTAAAATCAACAAGGATTATAAGCAGTCACATTGCTTCGCAATCAGAGGAGGTGTTCTGGAAAACAGAATGACATTTGGAAGATTGTTACTTCCACAACTTCAGATATAAATTTTATCAGTTTATATAATATTTTCTCAGAAATTATGTTTTCCTAATCAAGGATTAGCCTGGTATTTCCAAACTCCTATTATTTCAGAGCCTCTTTAAAACTATACATCAGTACACTCCACACATCAACCTGGAAACAATTTCCGCAGAGGGAATTAAAAAAAAAAAAGCTAACAACCTAATAGCATCTCTTCCAAGAAGCTGAATTGACAAGTTTATTTCCTAGGACCCAGCTGAGCAGGATACTTCAGGATGTATTTAAGCAAGCACAAGTGTAACCCCAGAGAGTTCAGTAGGACTAGCCACATCTCCTACATTATATACACACTTAATTATCCTGCACAGAAACCCTTGATGATTTTTTTTACTCCAGTTTGTCTAGGTTCCAGAAACAATAAAATGTACAAGTTTCCCAGGTGACCTCTTGAAGACTTCAGGCGAAGGAAGTAAATTTCAAGAAATATAGCACCTTTGAAACAGTTTATGCTTACAGGAGTATAAAAAGTCAGTTACATGCTACAGGACTGTAGCTGAAAAATAGTCAAGGATTATTTTCTTCATCCAGTGTAACCTTTTCAAATCAAGTTCCAATTTCATGCTATCAAAATATATTTTATGGCTTTTTCCAGTTCTGGCCACATGGAATGCTACAGGATATAACCATCTGCTAACAGAAGATATTAAAGTGTGTAATGGCCCAATTATATCTCTAGGAGTAAGATATTCTACTTAAAGTTTAAACTGGCAGGACCCTATAGAATCCAACAGACTTTTAAATAACTTTTGGATTGTTGTCCCCTTTCAGCATGCTAGCCTACTAAACTAGTTTCAAACATCAGTTATTGATGATTGAACTTACTCCTCTTGTTTTAGCTCATTTTCATATTCACATCAACCCTGAGGTGGCATTACAAATAGCTTTTCTTGTGGGTAATATAAGAGTTGGGGGAAAAAAAAGTAGAATTTCTGTAATTCTTAAATTTATCTTCATGGCTCATATCTTTCCTTTCATGTTACTCCAGACTTTGACTTCACTGCTCTCGAGCAGAAGTGAAGATTCAAATCATCACTGTTTTCATAATCTAGGAATCAATAGATATGGGCAAGCGATTTTCAGCCTTTGTATGTCATAGCATACATTCATGGTTGTAGCATAACTACAAAAAGCAAAGAAAACTTCCCAACAAAACTTTTCACACCACTGCCAGAAAATTATGCAGGGTACACGCAAATTGGAAGAAAAATCAAAACCTACTGGAGGCTAGATAAAATCTAACAAATTCGTAATTCATTAAAAAGAGAGCCTACTGGATCGCTCCTTATTTCTTCTCGCAAACACTGCAGGACCACCATCCCATACATTTCCCCGTGTTTGATTCTCTTTTTCCTTCCTTCTTCCTGACTCTACAAATTTCAGGTTCTTCTACCTCAAGTTTCTATAGGATAACACATTAATTGCCAGGAAAGTAGGAACAATAAATCCAGATTTGTTGCTGAGAACAAAAGAGAAACAGTAGAGTTTATTCAGAGAGAGAATGACACGAAGGGACCGGCTGGTGGGTACTGCCTGTACAGTTATAAGCCTGCAATTTCCAGTGAAGTTCTGTACCCTGCTGCACTGAGCTACATCCAGATAACACTGAAAAGAAGGTTCCTGCCTTGAACAACCTGCCATTTAGAGCACATCAGAGTTTCTCATCCTGTGGTCTTGTCCTCACACAAACCTGCACAGATTTCTAAAAGATGCTCAGTGAAACTAAGGCTGGTTCCCTCCCAGGGGTATATAGGAGAATTGGGATGACAGTTTTCTCTGAAATGAAAGTATCATGGAAATATTGTCTATCTAAAGCCAGGGGTTCTTTTTTTCAATGAGATCTTGGTCTTAGAGAAAGTGGAGTATAAAGAATCTGCTTTTAACTGTGATGATAGGTAAGCTTTGATCATCCATCATATTCCAAAGAAAAATGATAAATAAAATGAAAACGCTGAAACTCTAGTTCTATTTGGGTTACAAGATCACTTGCATTTCCATTTTCCACATGAGAGGTTCCTGCCCAGATGCTGAGCTGTCTCCACCTTTCCGGACGTGAACCTTGCACGACTGTCCAGCACGCCTGCCAGACACCGTGCAAACCTGTCACTCCATTCTTGATAGTTAATTAAACAGATATATATATTATAATAAAAAACCAAAATAAATCTGTGTTTTGGGGAAGAACAAAGAGGGCTGTTCCAGAACAAACAAATATCTGTCATCATTCTTCTAAGTATTAATCTTTCCCAAGGCTTTGAAGTTTGGCAGTGCTATTTCACAAATTCCTGTGAGGCTGCTTTACTGCTGGGCTAGAAATCTAACTGTGGAACTAGGGAGGAAAAGAAGAGAAAGATTTCCAAACAGAGGAGAAATATTTTAGTCTGACTGGTGAGTATTTCCATTTTTCATTGCTATGAATTTTCTGTATCTTGCAAAAATGGAGGGGATACGACACCTTCCAAAACAAATGAAAATAACTCAATCTCAAATCTGTTGTGAAAAATCATCTGCTCGCATTGACTGTCCAAAAACCTCCCATATCTTCAGTGAGTTCAATCCAAGTTTCTATAAAGCCTAAGCTTATTTTCAAGGCATGATTTGCCACCTCTGAATTTCTTAACAAATTTTCTCTTCTTCGTTCTTTTCTATGTGGCTGTTTTCTGACTTTTTAACAATGTCTTGGCCACGTAGCAGCACTGGCAAAAGGCAAAAGAATTCTTGTAAGAGCAAGTAAACCCCTCTTTCATGTGACACAGAAATGCTGACACTTCATTAACCTTTATTATAAACTAGTCACTGGAAAAGTTACTTTGCTAGAATCCACACTATGGTTTCACTCTACAAACCACGAAATGTCAGAATACTAAATTACAGGAAAATGCCGCTCACCTCCTCATGAACTCGAGATTAATGATATGGTGCAGAAGGGAACAGCAGTGGTACCAGGAGCGTAACAGGTCTAAAATAGCTAAAACACTTCTAAAATAGCTCATCATGAACAGGTAGCAAACCATCACAGATGGTTTCCAGAACCAAAGCCCCACTTCTCAACCTACCCATCACCGAGACATCGTATTCAACCAGCAGAGTCGCTTCCTGGCCGCATTGTTTGAGAATACTCATGGCTTCAGCGTGTGTCGTTCCGAGCAGTCGGATCCCATCGACACTCAGCAGCCTGTCCCCAGGTTTGATTGTGCCTTCTCTGAAGGGAGATTAAAGGAGTGATCTTTATTAATATAAGATAAATTGATCTGGATCTGGATCTTTTATGCAAAGCGGTTATCTCGCACCCTCTCTGACATCCATCCCTCTTGCCTTAACACTTAACATTTAGTTTGATGGTGAGAACGTTCAGAAGGCGCAGTGGAAAGGAAATTGCTTTAATTGGAAAGTCAGCGACTGGAAAATGGCGTAATGCAGAGCTAAATAATCAAGTCGGTTAGACTGCAACTAAGTATAGCTTCTGCTTCAACATATGCTTTCTTTCTGCCTTGTCCACACAACATAAACATACATAAACACCTCCTCCCCAGATATTTTCTTAAAACTAAATTCAAGGTGCAAACACACGGGTGTGGAAACAGATGGCAAAATATCAATGTCCATTTACTGATTTTCTTCCCAAAATACCACTTAGTTGGATAATTCCATTTTCTTTTTCTTCCTACCTAAAGATAATTTGGCTATAAATGCACATCGTCTCCTAGGCGTATCTCATAACATATTCAGAATTATAACAGAAATTAAGTACTAACATTGTCAGCTTGAAAATCAGGGAGAAAAACAAGGCAGGCAAGGGGATGAGGGTGGGAAGAAAGGGAGAGACAAGACACAAACGCTCTGTTGAAATGTTTGGTTCTCAATTAATATTTCCAAGGTCAAAAATGTCAACAAAGGCTACAGAAAATCAGCCTGCTTTAAAGAAGTTGCTCTGTAAGTTTCTTCAATGGTTTAAGGACACATGTCATTTTTGAAAATGTAATTCATACATATAAATAGAGTGAGTAGTCTTTATTCATATAGATACATATTCATATAGATACGTTCATTGGGCCAAAACATAAATCTGAACCTCAGAACTTGTCCGGGTGGAGTTATGTGTGAAATCACATCTTAAAAGAACAACACAACACTCCTGAAACACATGGCAGTATTTTTCTCAAGTCCAAGAGAAAAATATTGTGGCGCTGGAGTATAAAAAGCATAATTTAGAGCTAAACCAGTTGTTTGAAGCCTGAAAAAAATGTGCTCTGACCTATTGCAGGCATTTGTTCTAATTGAGTTTGATTTTTGAAAGTGTTTAATGGGAAAATCTTGGAACATGCAACATACTAAATTGAAGTTCACACACAGTATGACGTGCCAAGCCTCTGTGATTGCCCATTACTGTTTTTCGTTATTACAATTAAATGCATAAACCATGAATTTCAAAGGGACAGGTTTGAATATATCTGCTTCAGTCCAAACCCTAACTTCTGTCCCAAATAATTCACTTTTCTCCATTTCTTTTTCACATGCACTCTAGAGAAAGATGAATTGTACCTGTCAGCAGGCCCTCCAGGTCTAACACATGTTATTACAACAGGACGAGATTTATTTCTGTCATCGTGTGCTCCACCTAGAAAGGGAAAAGTGAGAGAAAGCACACCTTCATTTTATGCTTTTTATGAAAGCTCATTCCTAAATCTTGCAGCATGCACACTTAGAGATGGGCTAAAAGGATCAAAAAATAGCCAAGCCATATGAACCTCCAATGAATTTTATCTTAAATAAAATTAATATACTGCATGGTATAGATTATTATTTATAAAACATTTCTACAGTGATTCTTAATAAACACACATTCTTTGCTTAGAACCTCTACTCTGATCTACGCAAATCTGATCTGCGTGAAAACTTACTCTTCTGCAACATCTGCACACAGGAAAACACATGCATACTTCATATATACTCAGAATAATGAGTGGCCACCAAGGAATTAATAGATTAAATAAAAAACCAGTTTTCTCTGAAGAAACTAATAATTGATTATTGAGGCATATTATTTAACAGCTGCATGTTTTCTTCTGTTCTCTAAGTCAGTGATAATACTTCCGTTGTACCACACAGACTATCAGCATGATTAATCAGAGTTCATACCTAATTTATACAAATAATATGTAAATCTTTTTTAAGAACTACAGTCTTGCTGCTGATTTCAGTGGAAGGAGAATCTGGTCTTACGTAAAAGAGAGTTTGCCATGTTCTTGGCATAGTTGATTAATTATTGTTCTGCCATAAACAAAAAAGTAGAGTGGTTCGTAACAGCAGTACATGAATGTGTGGAAAAAGTAATACATAAATCACAGAGATCTTTACAAACTATAAGACATAAATCCTGAAATGATTTCTTAGTGTCATAAATACTTGCTGCTTTTTTTTCTGATTTAGAAAATACATACAGTTCAAATTTAATAACTCACCTCTTATTACAAATCCGAAAGTGTTCCCCTCTTTATGTAAAGTAACTTCCACGGTTCTAAAGATAAGACCTGATCCTTGTACAGCTAAAAGAAAAAAAAAAAAAAAGATTCCAAAACTTAATTACTATTATTTCTCTAATTATATACACAGATTTGCACCTTTTCCAATTTAAGATAGCTATTGTGTTTCTGGTCATATAACTGGAAATACTCCACTATAGAATAGTAGGTTAAAGATCTGTAATTAAATACAACTCGTTCTCTTTTTTAGAGAGTTTTGAGCCAGATATTCTGCAGATGGCCAATGGTTTGGAAAATGAACCACAGATGCACATAAGAGATGAGGGATTTGAGTCTTATTGTTTAAATTGTGGCATGATTTGTCTTTTCTTATAGTTAGGGAAGAGAGCTAGAATAGATGGAAATATACGGTGAGACACAAGGACGATAAATTAAATTCTTAAAGCTACCTGTGGAGCTGGTTGTTCAGCCATGAAAACATTTACTTGTATTGCTTCAAGTCAAGACAGTTTAGAATTTTAGGGCGTAATTCTAATCTCAGATTACTAGATTAAAATGAAAAAAAGTATTTTGTATCCTAAGGACTTTTTTATCCAAAATCTAACATGCTCCCTCATCACTGGTAAATGAATAATAAAATCTTTGACTTCTAGTCAAGTCAGTATTTTCTCTGTAAGCAGTAGAGGAGTGGCACACAGCTGGGTTAGGAGGTGAGAAGCCTAAAGCACAGACTAACACATCTGGGTGTGATAATCCACTTTACAGAATGTGAAGCCACTGCTGTTAAGAGACCAGTGGCCAATTTACTATTAGCTTTTACAGGAAAAAAATTGGCAGGGTGTAAGAACTCCCTTCTCCAAAGGGAAAAGGACACTGGGCAAAATGACACACATGCTTCCAGTAAACAGCACAGCACACATAAAGATTGACAAAAACCACAACTATCTATAAAATAAATGCTTTTCATTTTATTGTTCCTGTCCCCTGTTAGGAGAAATTTCTTCACGAGAAGGGTTATAAAGCATTGGAACAGGCTGCCTAGGAAAGTGGTGGAGTCACCATCCCTGGAGGTATTTAAAAGACATGTAGAAGAGGTGCTGAGGGACGTAGTTCGGTGGGGTCCTGGCACTGCTAACTTAATGGCTGGACTCAACAATTATAAAGGACTTTTCCAATCTAAACCTTCTATGATTCTATGATACCCTGAAGGGGCAATGGACACCGCAAGGTACACATCTGGAGAGGTGTGTGCTGCTGGGCATGAAAAGCCCCAAGAAGAAGCGGTGCCCCCTCAGTGCTGCATGCCTTCCTCTCTGAGGACTCCCCTGCTCAGGGACTCGCTAAGTGTCTATCGCCATGAAAGGTACTGTAATGTACTTTTCTTGGGAGTCTTTCAGTCCCTATTAAAGAAGTTATTGCAGAGAACCAGAAGAACCACCCAGTGAAATCATATAAATCTCATTTTCTGAGGAGACCAGGTGAAAGATGGCCCTCCAAAGCAAATACTGCTCTGTATTGCAGTCATTTCTGCCACAGCTTGAAGATCAGGACTGTGTCACTGAAATCCACACAGTTGTTTCCTTTTCAGCTAGGAACATTTTACTGCGCAAAAGGACTGAATTATGGGGAGGAGAAGATGACTCTTGCCTTTATTCCTATGAACAGAAAGTGGCCCTCTGTGTAGCTCAAGCTGAATTCACAACTGAGCTGAGGAGAGGTGAAACGTGTAGTTCAACAGTGAGGAATGGCAACCAGCATCCTTCCACCTGGGGAAAAACCATTCAAGGTTGCTGCCCTTCCACCCCAGCATGAGCCTGGGAGGGAAAAGGGAAAGAAGTCCTTAAACTTTAGCAACAGGAAAAGGCAGATGTGAGGCAGGCATGGCTCACGTTCTGGTTTAAAGCACTGAGGTGGCTTGTGCTGAAAATAGCAGCTGGATGCTCCTGCTGTGAACGCTGCCAGATAGGGAAGGAAGCACCAGTGAGACTGGGATTACTAGTGCTCAGCCAGATTTAATCCATCATTATTAAAGCACTGACATTTCCCCACTCTGAAAGGATGATAGTCCTCTCACTGAGGGGGTAACCGTGAGAACAACAGTAGAATTTCATTATGGGGCAGGGAAGGAGGTGTCAGGACTTCACCAAGTGACCTGCCAGAAAACTTTTGCATGTAATGAAGGCACCGTGTCTAGCTTGTTCACTAGGATCATAGAATCATAAAGGTTGGAAAGGACCTTAAAATCATCAAGTCCAACCTACAGCCCTACACCACCCTAACACTAAAACATCTCCTGAAGTGCCACATCAACGATTTAGGAGAGGAAATTGAGTGTACTATCAGCAAGTTTGCTGAT